GGTTTAATAGGGCAAATTATCTAATTTATATAAGTGTAAACACATAAAAACTGGTTCCAATCTAGTTTGAATTCAGTTCAGGATTTAATAGAACAGACATTATATAATTTATAAATATGAACAAATGTGAATATATAGTGTGAATACAAAAAGATTTTTTTGGTTTTACTTTAATATATCTTTATAGATATTTTTCTACCAAAAACAATAACTGACTACCTAAAACATTGACTAAAATGTTAAAGTTTGCTGCCATTTCTTGTGGTCCATGTGCAGCTCAATGCTGCTGTCACTTTGCTGCTACAGTGCAGTCATGTTGCAGCTAAAGTTTGCTGCCATTTCTTGTGGTCCATGTGCAGCTCAATGCTGCTGTCACTTTGCTGCTACAGTGCAGTCATGTTGCAGCTCTCGCTTCATTGCATTTTCAGCTTTCATGCCATAGCACAAATAGTTATTGCCATCTTGACTTCTGCAGAGAAGATTTCAAAGCAGGATAGCAAGAGGAAAAGAAATTTTCCGAATTGAAGCGTGGTTTCATTGAACCTACCGACAAACTTTATTTGTTGGAGGACTTCTCAGTCAGATTACTTAAGTTTGTCGGTAAGAAACTTTATTTGTTGGAGGACTTTTTTCTAACTCCTTATATGTCTATTTTATTATTATACATCATTTTCACCACAATTTCCTTCTCTCTCCTCCTGTTGTATGTATATTAGAATTGTTTAATTTTTTTGTCTTGATGAATATATAGAAAACCTGTAAGGGCTCGTACTTGACTATTTTCATACTTTTTTTATATATACTTTAGGCTTTTAATAAATAAAATGTCAAAATATTTTTAAGTTTTATCGTAGAAGCTCTTTCTTTATTTTTAGGTTTTTTATAGGTGCTCTTATTTATTGCTTATGCTTATGTGGTTCGTTTAAAACCCATTTTGTACTTTTCAAATTGGTTATTCAAGTTGATACATATAGTTATATGTACTACAATTTATAAGTATTCATAATTCTTGATATTTAATATTATTATTAAGAGATGTTTATCCATAATTATTTAATCTTAATCATTTACTCCCTTAATCTAAAAATAATAGAGAAAATAAGAATCAATTTGTGAAGTGTCACTTTGAATATAATACTATATATGCTAAACACATTATGTAATGTGCCACTTTGATTTGAACTCATCGTTCATCATTTATAAAGTATTTCTATAATATTTGATCTCAAATTTTATTAAAAAAAAGTAATTCCAAATTATTTGGCTCAATTCCTTCAATCTTATTGTTCTCCCTTTCTTCCCTTGCCTTCGAAATTAGTATGTTTTTCTCCTATTTTACATTATTGAATAGCATTTGCATATTCCATCTCCTAATGTTGCTCACGACATTTACTTCTGATCCTTTTTTTTTTTTTTTTATCCAAACTTTATTTAAAATTGATATTTTGATTTATCACGATGAGTTCTGTGTCAGTTCAAAATGAAAATTTCATTTATTGGCAACAAAGTTTACATGGCACTCGTTTGTGATTTGTGGTATCTTTCTGGCGCTTAAGTTACTATTTGTTATAGAATTGGATTTAAAGGTATCCATTTGACAAACCTATTCTATTTAATAAGAATTTGATAAACACATAATAAAATATTAATTAACTACAATATTAAAAATCCAAATACAATAATGTATTAATTAATACAGTACATTGGATTTGGTATAAATAATTAACTACACATGATAGGAATTCGATTTTCGCATATAATTTAATTAATTAATATATTTTAATGTTTTATGTTTAATAAGAATTTGGATTAATTTGAGTTAATTGGGCTTCAAACTCCTAAGTTTTCTTTAACCTTATGAGGGGAATGGAGGGGAGAGGAGGGGAGAAGAAGATTTTTTTATCAATCATATTACAATACATATTTTAAAAATATTATAATTTGATTGGTTAAAAAAGTTTGCTCTCCATTTCTCTCAACCGAAACATATTATAAGAGAAGCCCATTGGGTACTTATTTCAGATTTTGGGTATTTTAAAGGGATTTGTTAAAGATTTTAAAGATATTTATTGAAGATTCTAAAAGATCCATCAGGTATTTATTCAAAACTTATTGATAAGTTTAATAATTTTTATATAATACAATAAGTTAGTGAGATATAATTACTAAAGTTTGTGTCCAAATTTAATTAGGAGTTAAATTAAAACTAAACCTAGAGTATTTAATTACTATTTGAATTGAAATAGATTCCTAAGTTAAGTACATTGATTACTATTTTAATTATATAATTACAATGAAACTGTAGATCATATTTGATTCCTAAATTTTAGGCGAGCTTTACACGGCCTATTAGATATTTATTTTAAGATTTTATGAGTTTTAAAGGGATTTATTAGAGATTTTTAAGGCCATTTAAGTATTTATTTGAGATTTGTAGAAGATTTTAACAATTGGTATAATATAGTAAGAATTAAGATAGGATAGATTGTATTTAAGATATTTTAATATACTGGATTTATTTCGATATATTGTTCACCCTAAAGCCCATATAAATGCTGTTGCTACGCATGTAACTCTCAATATCTCCCCCAAAATATAATAAAATGTCTTCCTTCCAATTCTCTCCTTGCTTTTCATACTTTAAATCTTCATATAGTAAATGTAATTGAAACAACATTATTTGTGCAATGCACAGTATTCTATTATTTTATTTTCTACTCT